CCACGCTCTCGGGGGCCCCCCTGGGGGCCCCCCCGGGGGCCCCCAGCTCGGGGGCCCCGAAAGGGACCCTGGGGGCCCCCCTCGGGGGCCCCCTTGGGGGGCCCCCCATACACCTGAGAAATAGTACGCAGCAACTGCAGCCGACGACGGCGGCCTGAGGCCGAGAGCCCTGAAAGGAGACACATAAAAAGAGACAAAAAGATAGAGACAGATAGACCCAGCAAGAAAACCCTAAACCCTAAACCCTAAACCCTAGACTGTATAAAACCCTAAACCCTAGGCCTAAACCCTAAACTGTATAAAACCCTAAACCCTAAACCCTAAACCCTCCTACTAAACCTTCTTGTTAATCATTATGATATAAATATTGTCGTTGCGGTGTATATACACCTGCAGCTTACCAACTCTAAGTGAACCCTCCAGGGGGGCCCCCGGGGGCCCCTGCTCGGGGGGCCCCCCCTCTTCTATGAGGCCCCGGGCCTCGGGGTCCAGTACCTCTCTATAGCGAACCATGGCGCTCAGCACAGCCCACCTCAACGCGCGTCTCCCCCTTGCTGCTGCTGCTGCTGCTGTTTTTGCTGCTGCTGCTGCTGCTGCTGCTGCTGGTTGTGGTGTTGCTGCTGCTGCTTGCTGCGGGGGCAGCAGCAGGGCCTCGTGCAGAGCCAATTCAGGTAGCCGCAGCAGCATCTTTCTGGTTAGGGGGGGCCCCCCGGGGGCCCCCGTCACAGCTGAGGCCCTCCTCACCTGCCACAGGGGGGCCCCCCCCCGCGTGATAGATACAGGCAAATCCTTAAAGGGGGGTATCTCTTCGGGGGAGAAGAGGGCCCCCCTGAACTCCTCCCATATCTCTGCTGCTGCATGCAACTGCTGCTGCTGCTGCTGCTGCTGCTGCTGCTGCTGCTGTTGCTGTTGCTGCGGGGGGAGAGGGGGAGGGGTGTAGCTTGCTGCTGCAGCACGAGGGTACAGGGCCTCAAAGAATTTATCGATTTGCTGCTTCAGGGTACTGAATGCGGGGGCCCCCCTGGGGGCCCTTGCTGCTGCTGCTGCTCTCCGCTGCACAGCAGCAGCAGCAGCCTCAACAAACAATGCATGCGCTAGCCTCAGCTCATATCTATCTGCCCCTAAACTATCTCTATCCTGGGGGCCCCCCCGTACCCTAGCATGGGCCCCCCGCAGCAGGTGGGGGGCCCCCTCTTTCATATAACGAATTGCATCTGTCTCCGCATCAATACCTAAAAATAAAAACGTCTCCAGGGGCAGCTGAAGGTGTTGCCAGTACCCTTCTCCCTGGGGGCCCCCTCTCTCTCTAGAGGGGGGTTGGGGGGCCCCCGACGGGGGGCCCCCCCCCCTGTTCAGGGTCTCCCCGGGGGCCCCGAAATGCATATCTATTACACCAGGGGACGCGGCGGGGGCCCCTGTCTCCTTCAGAGGCAGCTGAGCTGTATAGGCACCTGCATAACTATCTGCAGGGGATAGGGGCCCCCAGCTCTCGAAGTCAGTATCTTCTTCTGCTTCTGCAGTCGGTGGGGGCCCCTGGGGGCCCCCCTGGGGGCCCCCTGAGAGAACACCTGGGGGGGCCCCCGATGCCCCCAGAGATAAGGAAAGGCCCCTCCTCTTCCTCCTCAAGCTGCTGCTGCTCCTGCTGCTGCTCCTGCTGCTGCTGCTGCTGCTGCAGTGAGAGAAACTCTGCTGCACACACTGTGGGGTGTGTGGGGTGGGGAGGAGACGATCCCGGGATCGTCTCCCCCAGGCCCGCGGCCCCAGGGAGACGAATGCAGGCCCAGCAGCGCTGCATGACGAAGCTGAAGACAGCTGCAAGCTGAACTGCTGCTGCTGCTGCTGCTGCTGCTGCTGTAGCGGTTGCTGCTGCTGCAGCTTCTGCAGCGCAGCAGCAACGTGTGCATGGCCCCCCACAGCAAGCCCATCCCTATAGGGGGCTCGGACGGATAGAGCGGAGACACCGGAGCAGCAGAAGACAGCAGCAGCAGCAGCAGCAGCAGCAGCAACAGCAGCAGCAGCAGCAGCAGCAGCAGCAGATCTCCACGCCTTCATCGTTTCCTGCTGCGGTGTCTCGAGCCACAGGTAGGGGCCCCACAAAGGGCCTCCCCTGAACCCTCTATTTATTTCTTTTTTATTTAATTAAAATAAAATAAATATAAAAATAAATAATAAAAGCAATTATATTTATAAACACTCCTCACACTGCACTGTCTAGAACCTCTACGAGGCCCTCACCAGCATGGGGGCCCCCGGGGGGGCCCCCCTAGGGGCCCCCCCAGGGGGCCCCCGGGGGGCCCCCACTCACCCAGCGGGGCCGCTTACTGGGCCCTAGGAAAAGGAGTTTTCTTTGGTTGTTTATGCTGTATTTGTTTTAATTGTTATTCTATACATCAGCTAGCCACAGCTACCTGCAGCTAGCTAGCTGGTGGTGCTGCAGCAGGGGCGCAGCAGGGGCGGGGGGGACCCTCTGGAGCCCCTAAACCCTAAACCCTAAACCCTAAACCCTAAACCCTAAACCCTCAGATGCTGGCTGCTCGCAGCTGGAGAGGCCCCTGGGGCCTCTCGGGGGTTTGTATCCCCCGCTGTATGAATACGGGGGCCCACAGAGGGCCCAGCAACACAGCAGCAGCAGCAGCAGCAGCTGCTGCTGCTGCTGCTGCTGCTTCTCCTCCTCACCAGCCAGCAGTATCTAATACTACAACTCCTCTTACAACAACAGCACGAGCAGCAGCAGCAGCAGCAGCAGCAGCAGCAGCAGCAACAGCAGCAGCAGCAGCAGCAGCACGGGTTCCTCCCGGGAGTGCCCACATCGTTGGCTTTCGGCGTCTGCT